GGCTATTCATGGGATAGTCCATGCTCCTCACCATCACTTCAAAGGCTATTCATGGGATAATCCATGTTCCCTACCATCAACGCTACTGTAGTCTTCCTTGTTCATCATCTGGCTTTCAAATGCACAGGTGGCTAGTTACATGGGTTCAATCAGGAGAATGTAACACTTAAAGGAATTCTTTTTAGCAGATTTGTCCAATATAATGCATCATTTGACTTCCTGACTGCCTCTTTCATTGGAGTTGATTATGGATCCAAGTAAAACAAAACCCTTTACAACGTAAATCTTTCCTCCCTTTATCGTGATGTTACTCATTTGGACAGTTGCGAGGGATTCTGTTTCTGTCTGGTGAGGCGTAATCCACACTGGAGGCTACACAGTCTCTGGTCTTCATCAGTAGTGCTCTAAGTCCTGGTCACCTTCAGCAAGTAAGGTTGCAATATGCAACTTGTGACATGCAGATGACAAACACACTTGCTGAAGGTAAAGAGGACTTCAGTCACTTACTGCTGGTGATTTAAAGACCACTGTCTTCTGTCTGAATTACACTGTGGCATACAGAAAACAAAAATCCTTAGAGCTGGTCAATGAGCGTTGTCATGATAAAGAGAGAAAAGATTTACCTTGTGTAGGATTTTGTTTTACTTGGATTCATATCAATGCCAAGGGGAGCAACAGTCAAGAAATCGCAGGTGTGGTAGTTATATAATCTGGTGTCAACTTGTGGAAGGGTGGAGTCTGGCCTGTCAATCAGATCGCAGCTTGATGACCTCATTTGGAGGTGCTATGGAAAAAAATAGCTGCTGGAGGCCAGACACACGCTCACTCCCTGCAAGACATTCCTTCTGATAAGACACATGGAGCTTCGCTAGAGCCCTGGAGCTGGAGGTGCCACTTGGAGACCACGCCAGTGTTGAGATGCTTACACTGCCACTGGATCCTTAAGACTTTCCACTCACTGACCAATGAAATTCCTGCATTCAGAGTCACTGCATGTGTTTTGTGAGGCTGAAGAAGAATGTATAGACTGGTATCAGACATATGGGCTAATATCGGACTTATGGACTTGATCTGGACTGGGCTAGGATGTTTTCTCAATATTCAACTGCTCTTTCTTATACACATATCTATAAATTTGTTTCTCCAGTGAACCCAGACTAACACAGCAGGTAAACAACACAAAACACAAAACCCCTCATAGAAATAATCAGCACCCTGTGATTAGAAAAGAGTAGAGTTGGTACAAGGAAAGAGAAGAGGTGGTACAAATCCATGACCATGTTTCAGGGACTAGGGTCAAGGGTGGAGACTCTGTTTGCTTGGAGGGTAAGTACTAGCTAACCAAAAAAAAAAAAGGAAAATTAGCTGCGAAGTTTGAGTGATAGGCCCAATGAGCTCACTCTTTCTTCAGTCTTCTTCTGTTTTTGAACCCTAGACTCACCTCTTGGTATAGAAAAGAAACTGGTCTCCTGGCCCATGAACGCCAGCATCCCTGAACCTCACGCCATGCTTACTATTCTGATACAGTGTGCATGAGTTTCTCCTCTATGATCGTGAAGTCCCTCACTGCACTGCCTCAATACGAAATAGATGCAGCAGCATCAATACACATGCATTATACTCTGGAAATTATTGACTTTTATATCAAAATACTTCAGACTCCTTAAAGTTTCTCCTCCTACAACGTTAGCTCACCTTGACAAGCTTGAAGATCCCCATGCCCCTTAGCATCTTCAGTTCAGTCCTCCCTCTGATTACAACACAGTGGCTATTGTTATAAACCTTCCATGAGGGATGATTTTAGAAAGTCACCAAATCTAGTTTTTTCTTCTTGAAGTAAACATTGTGGGTCAATCCATTTCTATCTACCTTCCCAGCGACTTAGGAGTCAGCATCTCCTGGTACGTCAGAAACTGACAATTAGCAGGTGAGGACTCAAGGGTATCCAGGAAAATATGAGTTCAACATTATTCGAATGAGGCGGGTGGTGGTAGGAGAGAAAAAAATAGAAGCATTTTTTTTAAGGGTGACTATCTCCCCCGTGTGAATAATGGTCCATTATTCCCTTTCACCAAATTAGCCCTCTCCCCACAAAACTGGCTTAGGAAGAAATGGAAGGAGTGAAGAATGCTGGCAGAATATAACACTAGTTCAGAAAAACTAGGATTTACCTAAAGAAACAGGGAGAATTAAAAAATATATACAGTTTTTAAAAAAAGATATCCAGTAGGTTCATGCAAGGGCACCTCCACTGTTACTGCTTACACAGGATGGCTTCAAAAGTTCCTGGGAAATGGAACTGAAAGATCAAGGGATTTTTCCAAGAACTCTGTGAAGCCCTCTCGTCTAGCTGCAGTAAGGAGCAGAGAAAAAGAGCAATCGGGTTGAAGACCTCACGACAAACAGAAGTCAATGGTAGTGTTTTCCTTTTCACAGACTACTGGCATCAAAGTGGCCCCAAAGATCTGGTTCAACTCCCTCGTTTACAACAGAAGACCCCTACTCCGAGAGATTAAGGATCAGACACGTGTGTAAGAACACAACTGGCAGGGTTTATCAAGTGATAATTCAAAATTAATTTCTTATTTCCGCCTAAACTTTAATATTTTCAGATATATCTGCAGTTGAGCAGAGTCAACTGTGATTTCCAAGTAGGACAGGCAACCGGGGGAAAGGTGCCACTGAGGAAGCCAACAGAAAACGCCTTACCTCTGGGTCTGCCAAGCGCTGAGACAGCCCTACAACGAAGACGAGGTTTTTTTGTACCACGCGTACACTAGCCAAGTGTTTGCGATTTTCTGATATTTTCTGTTTTCTCTCATTTTGTTTCTGTTTTTTCTCATTCTTTATCCTCTGCAGTTCTTCCTGGGAGAGTGGTTTATATACTGCTGGGTCTTCTGGATATGGCTTTAAGCATAAAACAAACACAGAAGTTAGCGGGAAAGAAAGAAACAGAAAAACGGCGTGAATAACAACCATCAGATTCTGGATGGCAGGTACCTGGACATATTGTTTCTATGACTGTATTGGGCAGCAGAGGTGGCAATGTCAGGTAAGCGTCGGATCCCTAACTGCAGTATGGGTGGTGAAACTCACCAGCCACTCCTCGGGAGAAAGAAGAAGCTATCAACTTCCATAAAGACTTAGGGGCAGGAGAGTCAGTATCAATTTGATGGCAGCAGGTTTTTGGTTTCGGGTGGCAGAGCTGGTTATGCATTGAACTGATAACCACAAAGTCAGTAGTTCGAACCCAGCAATTGCTCCACTGGGAAAAGATGAGGCTATCTGTTCCTGTGCATTTTAGCCTGGGAACCCTGGGGAGCAGTTCCACTGAGTTCAAATCAACTCAGTGATAGTGGGTTTGGTTCAGACTGATTTACAGGACTGTTTTAATTACTTTAAATGGTTTTCACCTAATAAAAATTAAGTTAAATAAAAATGTTTTCAAACACTTAATGTTTAGACCTTAGCACAACCTGAATTTGAAGCTCCTGAAGACAGGTCAAAAAGGAAGGACAAGTTCAGCATGCCTTAAGATGAAAGAACTAAAGAAACTCCCATGCGATTTAACTATGGAGGTCTACAATATCTCTAAGCGCTCTCACGAAAATGATTTAAAAAATGTGAAGCGAGAAAAGAAAAATTCAAACCTGGAGTTGTAAATACTGTAAGATTCTATAGATAAAATAGTACACTATGTAGGAGTCATCAAAAGAAGATAGAAAGAATACAGAGTCATTGTACCAAAAGGAACTGGTCAATATTTAACCATTCCAAGAGTTAGTATATGAACAAGAGCCCAATGGCACTGAAGGAGGAAATCCAAACTGCACTGAAGTCATTAGCCAAAAACAAGGCTCCAAGAATTGACAGAATACCAACTGAAATGTTTCCACAAACTGACGAAGCACTGGAAACACTCACTCATCTGTGCCAAGAAATTTGGAAGGCAGCTGCCTGGCCAACTAACTGGAAGAGATATTTGTACCCATTCCAAAAGAGGGTGACCCAACAGAATTTGCATATTATAGAACAATTTCATTCATATCACATACAAGTAAAATTTTGCTGGGGATCTTCCAACAATGGTTGCAGCAAAACACTGTCAGGGAACTGCCCGAAGTTCAGCCTGGATTCAGAAGAGGAGTAGAACAGAGATCACTGTAAACCAGAGAAGAGCAGAGAGATGTTTGCCGGTGCTTTATTTTCTATGTGAAGGCATATGACTATGGGGACTAAAACAAACTATGGATCACCTTGAGAAGAATGGGAACCCGGGGACACCTCATTGTGCTCAGACAGACAGAACTTGTGCACAAATTGAGAGTTGTGCGAACAGAACAAGGGAATACGGCATGATTTTTAAATTCAGGAAAAGTGTGGCAGGGTTGTATCCTCTCATCATACTTATTCAGTATGTATGCTGAGTAAATAATCAGGGAAGTTGGATTATATAAAATAACAATGCAGCATCAGGATTGAAGGAAGGCTTATGAACAACCTGTGATATACAGATGACACAATTTTGTTTGCTGCAAGTGAGGAGGGATTGAAGCACTTGCTGATGAAGATCAAGGATTATAGCCTTCAATATAGATTACAACTCAATGTAAAGAAAATTCAAATCCTCACAACTGGACCAATAGTTAACATGATAAACCATAAACCAAACTCAGTGCCATCAAGTCGGTTCTGATTTATAGTAAATGATCTTGTAGGGCTCAGTAAAACTGCTGCTGTGAGTTTCCAAGACTGTAGCATTTTACAGGAATAGAAAGCCTCATATTTCTGCCACAGAGCAGCTGGTAGTTTTGAACTGCTGACCTTATGGACTGGAGCCCAACGCATTAACTACTAAGCCACCAGAAAAGATTAGAGTTGTCATGGATTTTATCTTGCTTGGATCACAATCAGTGCTCGTGGAGGCAGCAATCAAGAGATCAAATGGTGGGCTGCATTGGGTAAATGTGCTGCCCAAGACTTAACGCTTTGAAAAGCAAAGATGTTACTTTGAGGACAAGGGTGCACCTGACCCCAAGCCATAGTATTTTCAATCACCTCATATGCATGTGAAAGTTGAACTAGGAGTAAGGAAGGCAAGAGAAAAGTTGATGCATTTGAATGATGGTGCTGGCAGAGTACCCTGAACTGTCAAAAGAACAAGCAGATCTGTCTTGGAAGAAGTACATCCAGAGTGCTCCTTAGAAGCAAGAATGGTGAGATTTCATCTCACATACGCAGACGTGTTATCAGTGGAGATGAGCTCCTGGAGAAGGAAATCATGCTTGGAACAGGGGCAGTGAGACAGATGAAGATACTCAACAAGGTGGCCTGATACTGTGGCTGAAACAACTGACTCAAACATAAGAATGGGATAACGTCCTGTTCTAATGTATGTAGGATCCCTAAGAGTAGAAGTGACTTGAGGGCACCTAGCAACCACCAAAGCAGCAGCGCAAATTGTGTCTCTGGTGGTGCAGACGGTTACGCATACCACCACCAGCCAAAAGGCTGATAAACCCCCAGAGGTGCCTCAGAAAACACGACGGAGGGTGGAGGGGGGTCTGCTGCATCTGAAAAGTCATACAGTCTTAAAAACCTTAGGAAGCAGTTTAGTCCCACTCTGCACACGTGTGGTTGCCAAGACTCAATGGCCATTAGCAAGCACAACTAACAGCACAGAGTACGTTAAAACTTTCCATATCACCCAGTGTTGTGAAAACTACCTGAATTCATTCTGTAGGTGGCTTTGGCTGTACTCTGTGCCTGTTGACTTTGACGCTCCTGAAAACAAGATCAAATTCTCTGAGGGACCCCAACAGTCCCCCAGTGCACAGTTCACAGAAGGCTACGCTGCTGGGGTGGTATGCAAGCAGCAAACATTCTAAGTTCCCGGCCCTGTATGTGGGTCATGGGTTTGTGTATTACAATCAAGATAAATTTAATGAAAGCCTTCTAAATGCTAACAGAGTCCCAGCTCCCATGCTCGTTCTGTAATACATTCCCAGCTTACGAGGGAGGTCAATGGGAAAATACAGAACAGACTCGGGTTCAGGCAGCTGAATTTCACTTCGGCACTTACTAGCCAGCCACACAGGCTTAGACAAACCCTCTTAGCCTGATGCCTCAATCTCCTCCCATGTACATTGAAAATAATCTCAAAAGTTGGAGTAAAGATGCAATACTCATGAAGCCATTATTATTGTGTCTGGCATATAGCAAGCCCTCGATACATACTAGATATTATACTGTTGTGTGTCTTTATCTTTTCCTTTCAAACTGACAGGGCCATTTTTCATTCCTGAGTACTTATGCCAGAGCTGCTGGCAGCTTGGTGGGGAGGGAGGAGGCAGAGTGCCTGGTTTGGGAGCCTGGCTCATCCTTCCCTAACAGAGATGGTGGCTCGGTTTTGTGACTTTTCTGGCTCAGCTTCATCTGCAAAATGGGAGCCACAGTATCAAATCCCTAAGGTTCCTGTGCGGGTAGGAGAGTCCATGCTTACAACATGAAAAAAGTGGCAGAGCAAACACACACACACAACGAATTATTAGTCTTCTGCCATAAAGCTTGGCTTCAAAGTGAACAGGTGAGCATGTATCTTGAGGCAGAGAGCCCTACTCTGGATAAGCACAGCAAAGTCTGGGGATTGACCATAACTCCGGCTGTAAGGTGCAGTGGGCCAGGCATGAGATGGTGCTACTCCAGGTGTGCTCCAAGCACTGCACATTCCCTGTTCGTAGTCAGACAAGTCCAGAAAACTTTTGGAAATCTACAGCAAGCTGACACGGCTATAATAGCAGACTCTGCAGAATGAGGCAGTTCTGAGTTTGGTTGTTATCAACTTAGGTTGTACATCTCACAGCACAGACTACCAGGCATGTGCAGCGGGACCCTGCAGTCACCTTCAACAGCCTGGAGCCAAAGAGAATTTGGTCCTTCTTGGCAGAGTGGAGAGGCACCACCATGACCCCGAATCCCGGAAAAGGAGGGATCTGACAAGCAGGCTCTGACACTGTCAAACTGGGCTGCAGCATTAAGTCCCATTACTGATGCACATCACATCATGTTAAGTATGTAATACTGAATTATATTGTTATCCTAGCCTGTTTTCTTCCTTATTCCAAGCTTTTTCCTATGAAAGGTTACTTCTCTCGGCTTTAACGTCAACTATGTTGGAATATAACTACTGTATGATGCAAAAGATGACGCAAAAGATAATGCGAGAGACTAATGATCAAATTAGTTACATACGGGGGCATAACGGTTACCCTTTGGGCTGCTAACTGTAAGGTTGGCAATTTGAAACTACCAGCCAAAAGACAAGGCTATATCTACTCCTGTAGAGTTAGTCTTAAAGGAGGTGATGAACAAGAGTTTTGAAATCTTCAACTACTGGGGAAGCTGTTTCTCTGTTGTTAGGAAGAACTGAATTTCTCTGGACCATATAAAAAGATGCTACTTTAAACCAAACACAAGTAGCAACCACATAATCGTAGTCTTCTTAGCCTTGGTCTAACAGTCTCATCAGGACCTGGAGAAGCACGAATCTCACATGGCTCATCTATACGCACAGTACCTCCACATACACTATTTCACAAATCTCATGGCTGAAAGCTAATAACCTAACACAGGGATGTGAAGGAGTGGAAGAAGGCTAACAGAGAGGGCAAGGGAGAGGGAGGGGAATAAAGAGACACACAGACAGGGTGAGAGGAAGAGGAGGGAAAAGGGTGGGTGGGGAGGGGAAGAGAGAGAGGGGAAAAAAACACTAAAATACGAGTACTGAAAATGAACATAAAGAAAAATACACCTCTGGTCTCCTTTTTATCTCAGACACAAATGTTCACCTTCTAAGATGAGACCAACAAATCAAAGGTTGCAGAGAGAAGAATGCCCGCTAAGGAGAC